CTTCATCCCAATCGAATAATTTGGGCAAGTTTTTTGATCCCGCGTACATAGATGGACGCTACAAAAATGGAAATGATAAAAAGCCATACTAAGGCACCACCGCCTTCCAATGGAAGTACACTTAGACTGCCAGTAAATGTTTCCAAAAGAAATCCCACTACTACAATAACTGTAACAAAAAGCTAAAAAATACAAACACACGACCACTGTACAATTTGGAGGTAAAAATATGACTTGTCACCGACTACCAAATGCAGTTTGGTGACAAAATGCAAACGTGTCGTATGAATGAAGTGTGTAGATATTCCAACGTGCAAAAAACGTATATTTTTAGTTTTTCTTCGCAGGCTTTATTCTGCTTAGACGAGCATACTGCAATCCAGAATATAGTGTCGTCACCGCAGTTGCAATACTAAAACAAAAGCAGTATTTTCAATGCTTCTTCAGGGATATTTTTTCTTTTACAAACAATAAGGCTAAACTTGCAAACCTACAGAAAAACTTTGATACTTACTACAAAGTGTTCAGAACAGGATGTCCTTCAAAGCCAATTACAGGAGCTAACAAACTACCCGAAACGATCACCATCTGAAGCGTCGTATTCAACTGCAATGAAACGATGATCAGTACTTTACAATCACGGCGTAAAATTTCATTTCTGTTTTATCCAAAATTGCACATCAGGCGCAAGATTCGGGATCCTCCACACGCGTTAAAAACGCCCATAATTAGCATTTAGTTGCCCCTAACAACTCTTCCATAGGATAGTGGCCAATTACCGCACTGTTGATTAATAAGTCACGAGCAGCACCCCAGAAATTAGGAAGCTGTTTTAATGAATTAACAACGAAGCAAAGAGTCAAGAGAACATGAACCTTGCTCACAACTGTCGGTGTAACTTGCAGCGGTGAAATAGATGCATTGAAAAAACGGAACAACGTCACTGGCCTTTCCATCGTTCTATATCTCGTTAATGCTGCGCCAATTATTAGCAACACATCTCGTAAAACCACCAATGCAGTGAGAGGCCCTAAAGTTAGAAACCAGAAGTCAGCAACAAATAAACCAAACTGATTCATCATGAAAACGATAGTGCCGGCAAGCAAAAATGTTACATGGAATCAGATTGACGTATGTGAGAGTAACAAAAAGAGTCATGATAAGCAGCTTGTCTGCAAATGGATCGATGATGCTGCCCAGCAGTGATTTCTGGTCCCGAAAATTCCGAGCAATATAACCATCAAGCTGAAAAAGAAGTGAATATACAAGCGCAATTTACCTCAAGCTACTGCTGGTCAGGCTGACACTGAGAGAGAGGGAGAGAGAGAGAAGATGTCCCACCAACGATCAAATAAAACACTGCACAGCATCTTCTCGGTATTTAAATTCCACCAAATTTTAACACCGCCTAGAATGCTGATACATTCATAAGTTGATAATATGTATATGTCCCCCCGTTTATTTTTTAGACCCAAAGTCTCATTTGAGGCAATTTTCCCATGCTAGCCGATAAAATCTTCTGAAATGTTATTAAGCGCGAAAAACAAGCGGTTGCCTGAACAGTCCGTTGGGAACAAAGACAGAATCAGACGAGAACTATATGTTTGGTAGCACCAGTACTGACCGTTGTTCATCGGGCAGTGACTTGCTTAAACCGAGTTATTCACAAAGAGCTGTCCGTATCACATCACTTGAGTTTCTTGCAAATTTACCTTATATTTTATTTTGCTTACGAAATGCGCTTTTATAATATGCTGCGAGAAATTAAACTATTACATGGCATTGCAAAAAGAGGACTTACAAGATCTGTAATTCCGGCAACAGCAAATGCGGCGCAAGCGAACAGATACGATTCATTCAGCACCAAATAGCCAGTAACTGGCGTCAAGCCAATCCTGAAATGGTGGCACGTCCAGCTTATGCTTGGGCAGATGTATTGCTAAAAATTATAAATGTAAATTGAAAAGAAAAATGAAAAATTGCCTACTGGATGCAGTTGAAGAAAAGTATTCAAACTGAAGCTCGCATGCTAAACTGCACACTTTTCACACTATTTTCTGCTGCACGGATGGAACATTGGAAGTTGGGGATTTTTTTGAATATAATATAATTGAATAAATATAATATAAGTTTTTTGAATATAATTTTTTGAATTTTTTGAATATAAATGTGGACACCCCCGTCCCTCACTTTTTGTTTCGTGCCTAAAATGAACTGAGCGGGTGCACAGCCCCAAATACGACGCATTGAGCACGGCATTGCTGACCTGCATAAACA